AAAAAATGGCAGAACATTTGTTTTAAGGCTGTGAATAGGACCAGAAAATTGGTGGTGGAGTTAGGGGATGCTTAACCTCCTATGAGAGCCAGTGTGGTGCAGTGGCTTGAATGCTGGACTACGACTCTGGAGACCAGGGTTCAATTCTCAGCTTGCCCATAAAACACACTGGCCATAAAAGACCTTGGGCAAGTCACACTGTCTCAGCCACAGGGGAAGGGAATGGCAAACCTACCCTGAACAAATCTTGCCAAGCAAAACCCCGTGATAGGAGGTTGCCATAAGTCAGAAATGACTAGAAGGCACACAACACACACACAACCTCCTATATTCCTGCCACTGTTCCACTCAGTAGCACCACTGTCCAACTGCCAGGTAATGGCAGGGACACTGGGGCAACTCCAGGGCCAGAATACTCCAGGCTCCCCACAGAGTATTCTGGCCCATGCAGATATGTCCTTTGACAAGCAACTACCAGAGAAAGACATGTAGGTGATTGTATCGTTTCATTTGTGTGGGGACAACCAGCTTGTCAAGGAAAATTCTAAGTCAGGGATAGGCAACCTTTCCCCTTTAAGGGCCGAGGGACTTCAGCTCCCAGAAGCCTCAGCCATGTTGGCCAATAGTCCCATGTTGGCCAATAGCTCCTGGGATTCTGGGAACTGAAGTCCCTTGGCCCTTAAAGGGGAAAGGTTGCCTACCCCTGTTCTAAGTGGACACATGGTGTGATGGAAAATGATAATGATGTCTTTGTCATATCCCACACCTTGTAGTTCCTGCATTAAAATGGGCAACCTTCAACAGCTGCATTTCAATTAAAAGCAAAAACAAAACACCATATTGTCTAGTATACAAAGGGATCATGTAGGAGCTTTGAAACAAACTGAAAGACAGAAGTTGGCAGCATAAACTTTTGCAGACCTGAGCCTACTTCCTCAGATGACAAGAAGCATCTGAGGAAGTAGACTCAAACCTATGAAAGCTCATGCTAGCAACTTCTCTCTTTCACTTAGGGCCTTTGCAGACTGCCAGAAATAATGCACATTAAATTGAGGCACTGCCCTGGCTCAGTGCTAGGGAATCATGGGAACTATAATTTATTGTGGCACCAGAGCTCTCTGGCAGAGAAGGCTCAATGTCCCAGAAAAAAATACAATTCCCATGATTCCCTAGCACTGAGCCAGGACAGTGCCTCAATTTAATGTGCACTATTTCTGGCAGTCTGCAAAGGCTCTCAAAGGTACTGCAAGATCCCTTTGCTTACTGATTTTCCAGACTAACATGGCTATATCTTTCAGTTTTACCAGATTGTCTGGTTTGTCTTCAATATCACAGCAACTGTTTCATTCCTAAACCTGTATGATTCACAACAATATTTCCCCAGTTTATGTGTCCATTTAGTATCCAGGGACCAGTTCATGTCCTCACCGTCATTGTCAATGAGGAAAGGGACGTTTGGAGTCAGGATCTCATAGTAGCAGATCTGGCTGTACTGAGGGGAGCAGTCACCATCAATGGCTTCCACGCGCAGGATGCGATCATAGAGCTTCCCTTCTGTCACTGCCACATGGTAAAGCTTATCCACAAAGACTGGAGCAAACTCATTGACATCATTCACCCGCACATGGACAGTGGCCCTACAGTGAGAAAAAAGAATCAATGAAGAGCTGTCCATGAACTCACTTCGGAAGAGAGAAGCCAGGCCTCTAACTTCCCAGGAAAACTGAATCCTCTCTACACTTTTCTTTTCAAAAGTGTAAGGGTCAGCAGTAGTTACTCAGTGATCAGAGGACTGCCCTCTACCTTTGCTCAGCAGTATTCTTCCTTGCTTCATAGATGGCATTTGGCAATTAAAGAATCCAGGGCTGAACTGAGTGCTTACCACAAATTTAAATCCTGGCTGATTCATGTTGCCGCTAACATGTAGAAGCTCAAAGAACACAAAACTACAGTTAAGAGTGGAAATACTAGAATCATACATTCCCAGACTCCACAACTAATCAAGGCACAGAGGAAATGCAACCCCGTAAACATCAGCAGAGGTTTTATGGGGTCATTTCTCGCAGACGGTTAAAACATCCAAGAAACCCATCTGCCACAGTGCACAAGAGTTTGCAATAGGCATAGTGCACACATTGTGCACAAGAATGCACTATGAGCTGGGGAAGGGCTACCAGTTAGGGTCTGAGCATCTGCTTGGCATGCGGAGGATTCCAGGCTCAGCCTCCAGCATCTCTAGGCAGGGCCAGGGAAGTCTCTGAATAGCTGCTATTATATAAAAAAGCTTCCTTGTGTGTCTAGTCCCACATTAGATTTCACCTCAGCTATGGGCGATCTGAGACCCTGTGTACATCCTCCCTCCAGGTCCTCTTGGCAGGGAGTCCAGATGACACATGGCCCAAACCTGGGTCCTGGTGTGAACAGTCCAGATAATGTCTGCCCCATTCAGCATATATACAGGACAGTATATCCCCTTATAATGATTTTAAACTCATCTTTTGCTTTGTATCTTCCAGGAAGATTCAGAGTTCTCTGTTGTGACACCATTGTACCACCTGGTGCACCTGCTGCCATGGCAAGTCACTTGCTCTAGGATCAGAACGAGGCACCCAGCCATGTGATTGATGCTGGGCATCTTGTTTTGACCTCAGAAGGAGTAATGCATGGCAGCAGTGGCCACACCAGACAGCACAGTGGGACATGTGTGCAAACAGCCACTCAGCATTGCAACAAGAGTGTCAGGTAATGGGAGGACATGGCACAGCTCCAGGGTCAGAATATTCTGGGCAGACAGGGCCTTAGACAAGCAACTACCAGTCAGCATCAGCTTCCTCCATCCTAACCCCCACCACCCAACATCAGATTAATAATTCTAACTTATTTTATAGGATTTTTGTAAAGATTGACAAGAGCAGAACTGAACATTATGAGGAAATATACAGAGGTTGTAAACTCTGTTTCCCTTGTAATACTAGGGCAGAGGTAATGAGACCTCAGTATCTGTGGACTTACCATCCGCAGATTTGAGCATCCGCAGACATCAAGCCCGCATTGTCCTTAATGACAGTGCGTGCACATTGCCACTGGGGACAATGTGGGCTTGAGCATCCATGGATTTTGGTATGGGGGGGGGGGTCCGGAACAGATCCCCTGTGGATACCGAGGTCCTACTGTATTTTCTATGAGGAAAGAGACCATTAGTCTTCCCTCTACCTATCAGATCTCCCTGACAAACATCCTTCCCAGGTTATTTTTCATCATATTCTCTGCAGCCATCTTTATAAACAAGTCAAATGGGTGGGTGGAAATCTAGTCGGGCAGGAAGCATTTGCAGAGGAATCAATGGGCACAGGATTGCTCAGGCTACTCCATTTGTTACCACCACTTTTTTCCTTCAGGCATCCCATCACCACTCACATTACATCAGCAAACACAAGTTTTGTATCACACTTCTTGAGACATCATGAAATTCCAACCTACAGTCTGAAGTATTTTAGAGCATAAGAAAACTCTACACAGACCATATTAATAAAATTTACTATACTAACAATGACAGGAAAACAGCATTAGAAGGACACTCAAATCCAAACTTAACTGTTCTACAGACTTTTAAATATTTTACAGAGATCTGATAAACAATACTTCACATTTCCTGAAAGAAGAGTTTTTCTGTGGGGCTTAATTCAAGACTCTGTCACAAATGGTATTCCCCTAGAAACCTTGACATGTTAAGGGGAAAGTAGCATTAGCGCCACGCTGAATCCAATAAATCTTTGGGCTTACTTGTGGGATTTCTTGGTGTTGGTACCATCCGGTCCTTCACCACAGTCATAGGCCTGAATGGTGAAGGTGTGCTCCTTGTGAGCTTCGCAGTCCACTGGCTCTTTGGCACGGATTAACCCTTCACCTGTTGATTTGTCCAGGATCACTGCTTCAAAAGGTACTCCTGCCCCATGGATCCGGAATCCACAAATTTCACCTGGGTCCCCAGAAGAAAGAAATGGAAAATAGAAAGGCGAAAAAACCCAACAACACATGAAGCAAGCACTCCTTTTTTTCTATAAACAGACCACCTCCACTCCTCCCTGCCTCTCAACATTCCCTGGTTTTCTGCCACATAGCACCATCTCACAGAAGACACCTATTTTGCAAATTCCATTTGAACCATGCAGCTTAGAGACATACTATGTCAAAGTTATTTGCAAAGCTTAACAAAATAGTTTTTATAGTGGGTTTTTTTTAATGGTTGCCATTACAAAGATTTTGGTAACTCATTGCTCAGTGTCCTGTCTGTTACTTTTACATTCCCTTTGGGTGGGTGGGGAGAACTCCAAACTTGTATAAAACTTGAAAATTTTTCACTCAAAATGCCTCTAAATGCCCCCTTAAAATAACTGTTAAAAGGAACTAGGAATGGTTTCTTCTTATTCCTTCTTCCTCATATTGTAGGGATTATTCAGATGGTGAAAATAATTTGGGTTGAATGTTTGTTGTTCAGGTGCATTTTGAATGCATCCGATTAAGTTGGGTGTGTGTGCAAATAATCATCCCCACTTAAACAAGAATAACTGAAATCAATTTCCCCCCGCATTTTAAAAAAAGATTTGCACCATCGGCAGTATGAATAACCAATGCAAATAGACCCAGGATAAAACGGGATAAAACTCTGCATGCCTTGAATATGCTTTAAGCACATTGGCATCATCAACTCCATCTTTACTCAAATCCTTGCCTGTGTGAGCACCCTAACTCATAGAGATGCACAGAGATGCAGTTGCATAGTGTGAACAAACCCGAATGCATGAGTGAGATTATTTGCATTGTCACGCTAAGAAAAGCAGCATCTGAATGACCCCCTCAGTTCCACTTTTGTTATGTTTGAAACATGGTTTCATTATGTCCTCATTAGCAAAGGTAACTTTTACTGGCAATTCATCTGGAACACCCAACCATAGCTATGAGGAAGTGGCAACAAAATGCCAGTACACCACATGTATAGGGAACCTCTGCCCTGTGGGCCTAATCCTGCCCTCCTGAATGACAGCATTTTGTTCCACTCCGTCCTACTGGGGAAGGAGGCAGGAAGGGGGCAGGAAACCCAGTCCAGTTCTCCACCATCTTCCCTATCATCCACCCCCTCCCCTAAGATCTCTACCAAG